ACCTTAAGATTTCTCCCTTAAACTACAAGTGAAGTTAATCATTGCTTTTTTAATATGAGGAATCCTCATTAGCAGTTTTACTCTATCCTTTCATAAGTACCTGCCTTGTGCCTTGCATTAGGCTACAGATATATGTGGTTGTTTGTCAGCCTTACCAAGAAGCCCATTGTACAAACATCCTGGATAGTGGGGGACTTTCTGTATCTGAGAGGAATAAAGTGTTGTTTACAAAGATTCAGTAAACAATATACCTCTTTCTCATTAAAATTTATCTTTCCCCAAATTAGTTGGCTGGTCTAGGCATACATCTCACCTGTAGAAGTTAACTCTACACAGGTTTTTTTCTTTCCCTTAAACCAGATAGTCAATAATTTGATCCTTGTTTTGCATGTGTATTATATATGTGTATATACGTATACAAAATATTTAAATAAAATAATTTCAATTCTATGAATCTAGTAAAGATACTAAAATAATAGTTACCCTTCATAGCATCTGGAAAATTCATTTCTTTACCAGTTGAAAAATATATCATCCTTAAAAAAATTCATACTAGAAAATGTCACTTAGAAAGTAGTATTCCATGTCAGATTACAATTACAGGAAGATAGCAAAGACACGTAAGTTTAATGTTAACTCATCTTGCTGAACTTGTCCATAAAAGTTATTACTTAATTATAAAGAAGCATTATTTTATTTAATTCTTGGCATCTCTATATGATTTTTTTTTCCAGTGTCCAGTCCACACTGAAAACAAAGTTGGCCTGAAATCTGATGCAGGGTGTAGCTATTGCTATTCCAGTGTAATCAAGAGGTCCTATCACTTGATTATCTCAGTAGATACTCTTAAAGTAGGGGTAATATGTACATAGCTCTTTAGCCAGATACATTTCCTGATAAGACATCTGTCCACAGAGAACCACTTTGTAAACTAAATTTGAGGTCTGTTCAAATGACATCCTCTTTGTTTACAAATTTGGTGTTATCCCTTAAAGTCTTTTTGCTGATTATGCTTGTATCTAATTTAAAATATATTGCAGTCTTTTGTGATCTGTGAGTATTACATTGGTATTTACTTCTACTTGAAGTTAATGTAATTTTTCCTTCTTCTAAGCCTCTAGAAAGATTTTTTGAGTTGATTCATAGTGACACTGTAAGATTGAGAAGATTCAACTGTCTATAGTTGAACCATTCATTTCTTTAGGATCTAGAAGAATTATACTCATAATTAAACACACTGTAATCAAGCACATCCATACAAAGTACATGGACTTCTCCTTCTCTTTAGCTACCAAAGATATTTAAAACACTGGCCTTTCAGTTGTCAATATTTTGAGGTGTATGATGAGTAAATGGAACAGCCTTACATCTTTCAGCTGTAGAACTGTCAAAACGAGTTTGTCTTTTTTACCCCTCGCCCCCCAAATGCAGACTATTTCAGAATCCATTACAGAGGAAATAAACAGTTGATTTTAAGTTAAGGATGAGCCTAGCAACAATTTGCACTATATTGATGTCAAAAGTATCTCTCTGCCAAGCTCTAAAATGCATCTTCAAAAACTACTGAAAATATCCAAGAACTTTAGTGATGAGCTACAAATGGACTTTGGTATTGATAAATAAAAGTCAATATGTATAGTGAAAGGACAACTTACTGTGATAAATGGGCCCACCATCAGTAAAGATCAAATTATTGACTATCTAGGCAAGGAAAAACCTGTCTATAGCTAACTTCTACAGGTGAGAAAAATTAGCCACAACAGCAATTCAGGAAAAGCTCAAAGAGACATGTAAGGAGCATTCATTAAAAATTCATACAAAAGTTGGCAGCAACAATCTGTTAACAAGTACATTTGTGGCACAAAGTTAATATATTTCTTTGGCCATGCCCAGGTTCACACCTTTTTCTTTTGCTTTGAATGGGCTCCTTTTGTGCTACTCATATTCCCTATCAAGGAGATCTAATTCAAATTTCACTTCCCAACTATCCTATTGTAGGGGAATTACCTCTGCCTTCCTAAAACCATGTCACTCTTGGAACATTGTTTTTAATGCTCCTGCTAATAAATTTTCATTTTACCTCAGCTAGATCACAAGTTGTATGAGGGCACATTAAAAGTGCCTTCATTGTTTTTTACCCCTCACATGGTCTAGCAGAGAGCTCTACTTATAACAAGCACTAGATCAATATTTGTTGATTTCATCATTTTTGAAATGATTCATTAGAGAAGCCTTGGTCACGCAGCATGTCAGAGTTTAATGATGAAACATCACAGGAAACACCCAAAAGAACAATTGCAAAGATTAGCCTATCAAAGAAAAAGGGTGGAATGGCAGTAATTAACCTCTCCAATGTCAGTTGTTCCCAGTTGATAGAATGAAGGCATTTCTTCTACAGTAAATTTAATTGGATACCAGTAAAGATGACAAATCTTGTACCATCTCAGATTTGGAAGCTAAAGTATAATTAAGCAAAATATCTGAAGAATAACCTTCTCTACTCTCCTACTCCCAAACAAACCACACCCTCCAAAATCAGAGGTGGAGACAAAAATCACTGCATGGTACCTACTAGTGTGAATTTAATGAAGATCAGGCAGCTAAAACTACATCTAACTTTCTGGCTTTTTGAGAGGACTGGGATGTCAGTTCATCCTGAGACCACATTATTGCTAAATGTGGTCTAAATGTGGTCACTAAAAATGATTCTAGACATTTACTTTGTTGTACTAATACCATGCTCTCTTCCTCCTTGAGGCCCCTGTGTCTAGGACAGAGTCTTGTTGGAGGAATGAATGAATGAATGAATGGGTGAAAGTTTTACATTACAAAAGAACAGTGTATGGGATGACAAGTGCAAAACATTTGCTGAAATAAACACAGATGCTACCTCATTGGCGATTAGTAATAGATTTAGCTGTATGGTTAATTTCCAATTATAAATACCAATGTAAATATTTCAGAAAATTAACAAGTAAGAAATATGGAAATAAAAATTATTAAAACAGACAAGGAAATCTTGACGAATGTAATAGTATTCTACAACTTCAATGTGTTTAATTATCTCACTTAAAATTTCACAAAAATCTATGGATTCAAAAATAATCTCTAAGTATGAACTAAACTGAGGAAGGTTAAAGGCGGCTACCCCAATAACTACTTAGGCCATATGTGTCACTTCTTCCAAGTCACAGACTAATCCATACCACCATTTTGCAAATATACATCCTTTGTCTCATGTGGGCCTAAACAAGAAACTGAATAGATCCACTTAAAGATAATTCAAAGCACATATCCTTGGATCAGGAGGATATCTAGCATGGCGTGTCTGCTTTGTTCATTTGTTCGTTCGTTCATTCCATAAATCATTTGAGAATACCTTCTAAGGCCCAGGCACTGTTATACACCCAGCACACAGACATAAATGAAACAGACGCAGTACCTACTTCCATATTTTTTTTCAGAAAATTCAAATGCACAAAATGAAAAATCAGATTTATTTATTTAAAATCAGAATTTCATACATTTTTTCTCATATTTTGTTCCCAAACAAAAAGTTTTAGAGAAGCAGTGAATTCAAACTCCACACTCTCACTTCCACAGAACAGAGAAGTGTTATATGTTTCCTGAGAGAGTTGGTAACACTGTTTGAAGAGAATATTTGAACCAGAATTATGTTGCTAGTCTCCTTTAAAGTGTGTGTATGTGGGCCCCAGGTTATGATCACCAACCCTATGCACACCCCGTGAAAACAAGACAAGAAGTATATAAGGTGTGAGCTCTACTAATGCTGCTTGGACCTCTGGCAGCACTCCTTTGTGTCACTTATTGAATGTGTGAAGTAACACAGGCTTTAGCCTCTACGTTTGCTCTCTCATCTCCTAATGGAGGTTCAGGAACAGCAGCCAAGCTCTGCCCCTGTGCCAACAAACTTGTTATTTCATGTATGACTTATAAATCTGTATTTTCTTGATTGCATTTATGGCTTACAAATAATATGTTGTGTGTGTTATCACGACCTGAGGAGACAGTGATAGTGTTTACTGCAGCAATTTGTGATAGATAGAATTCCAATGTAGTCAATAATATACATATTTATGTTGTTTGGCTTCAGACCAGTAAGTATGACATAATTTATATTATTGCAGGCTTGCTTTGTTTTGTTATTCACGAAGTTTCTTCATGAAGACAATGTCCACTTATCCTGACAAATGATTCCTGAACAAATGTAATATGGAAATACGTTACTTGTGGAGATAATTTAGACCAAGTATTACAACTTCTAGAAAAATGTGGAAACTTGAGTCTATGCTTCTGTAATGAAATTTAGTGGTTGCAATGAGTTTATAGGAAATTTTAGATTCCTTTGCTAGCTTTGGTTTCTGTTCATAATTCCTGCTCAGAAAATAATGTCTAGAGATCTACCATTCATGACATCAGCCCTCCTTATTATCGTTTGCAATGTGTTCATTCTACATTTTTAAATTTATTTTTATAGAGCTTTTTATTGGTGTTTGGTACCATAGTTTTTAATTTGATGAAAGAGAACCAAAATGCATAAAAAGTGTTCATCAGCTGTGATTTGTGCAACAAAAGGAGCCATTGCACCAGCCTAGAGCTGGTCTTTCTAATTGACTAGCCCGATGTTCTTCTCTCTGTGTCCTGTTGCCATTAATTGACTGTATTGTTTTAGATTTATGCATTCAAAATACGATTTCTACTTCGAAGGGATCACTTTGTTACTTTGTAGCTTTTAAGCTGATGCCATGAACTTATTTTTCTTCTAAGATAAAGTCTCATCTATAGATTTTTCAACTAATTACATGTCTGCCAATACATACTTAGAGGATACATTTTATTTCAATTTATTATTTGTGTTTACATAGTGTGTCCCTGGAAATATCTGTGGAACTGAAGGGAAATGTTTTAATGGTGTTTGTTACTACTTTTTCATCGCTCTCTTTCTTTCTTCTCTATTTCTCGCTCTCTTTTTTTAATAGCTCCAGTCAGTCCGGTCAAGCATGACAGCAACTCAAACTCGGCAAAGTTCCAAGACACCGAGGACGTGCCTGACAGATGTGTCTTCGAAGAGTCTGAGAGCCCAGGTGAAAGCCATTTAAAAATAGTCAAGTATAAAATGATAAATTTGACACAGCTTTGGGGTCCTTGGAAGGGGGTGGGGGAAGAGGACATTGCAATGCTGTTTTCTCTTAGCAGCTGCACTGTCAAATTAATGGTCACCTCCAGGGGTCACAGTGTGGAGCTGTTATCTTTTCCTCTTTCATCAAGAATTCAGTTGGAGGAAGTACAAAGGCTTTATGACTGAGAAGGGAAGCTGACACTATTAGTTCATTATCATCAATTTTAGGCTAAACTGGTTAATAGAGGCAGAGATTGGAAACTGGAGACATGACAACATTTTAAATATTTCAAATAATGGGATCAAGCGCAAGTGGAGAGTTCGAGAAAAGAGAAACAAATTGTCCCCATTACTATCTATTTACGTTTCTAAATACAAACAGAACTCTAACTGGGGTGAGAGGATTTTAGCATCACAATAATGGACTCATGGATGTTGTCAACTGTTCAGAACAAGAAAAAAGAAAATAGTAACCCTTCCTCACTCAATAAAATTTACCCTATGTCCAAGTTACTTATGTTTGTATTTTCTTTGTGGAAAGAATAGACTGAAATGTACCGGAAGGATTTGACCAGAAACACTTGAGCATGAGTTTTTCTCTCTGTTTTTGTTTTGTTTTGAAGCATGCTTAGTCTTAACTAATTAATTAAAAGAAAAAAAATCTTGCAAAAGTAGAATGACATTCCTAGATCAGTACAAAGCCCTAAGGTGCCAGAGGGTACCTTATTTCCATGTATTTCCATGAGTGAAAGAGTTAACTACCTCCCCCCATTGAACGTTTTCTTTCCTGTTTTCTCTGGCTCCTGTGTACCCTCTACCCTCTTGCATCTTTGTGTGCTGATCCATGTATCAGATTTTTGATTCATCCTCTCTGTGGCCTGTCAGCTTAGTTAAGAGATTTCCAAATCTTGTAGCCTTCGCTGACAGGGGGCAGCTGCAAACAGTCCCCTGATCCTTCCCCGAGGAGAGCTACTGAGATTTAATTTTCAGTGAAAGGTGCAGCCTGCAATCTATGTCAGGTCCCCTAAGTCATCTCGGAACCCCAATAGGCCCAGTGGCACTGGCATTATATTTCAGTCCCCTCCACCACACCAAGGTTCCTCAAAGATGAACCACTGCTATGTGTCTGTTCTCAAGCACACTCCTGCTTTAGCATCCCGTGCACCTGAGAAATGGCATCTTTAGCAATAACAGAAATTTTTAATCAGCACGTTAACCCCACCCCCTGCCATAATATCTAGAAGACAAATGTAGATTAGTCCCAATCTAAAAGAGAGAGTGTAGTAGTAACATTAAATTTCTATAAAAAACTATTTTAAAATTATTCCTAGTTTTGACTAAAATTATCTAATTTCGACTAGGTTTTTAAAATGTCTTAGTAAACAGTTTTCTATTGACCGTTTGTCAGGCAGTTAAATTCATGAGTCAAGTTTTTACCTAAGAGTTAATTGTTTTCGGCAAGAATAGATCAGTTTTAAACCATATCAGAAGTAGAATAAATTTCTATCGTTCCTCAATATGAGTGCAATTGTAGTGATTCAAATATAACATAATCCGTCTGATTTATATAAACAAAACGATATATCAAAACAGAAAGATTAATTAGGAAATATAGGCACTGATAAAGAATCTTAACTTTAAAAGTGAGTAGTGTTCTATACATCGGACATCATTAAACTGGTAATAAAGAATGAATTACTCTGGCTTTTTCCTCTGTCCATTCCTGCATTTTAAGACGTCTTGCCTTATAGGCCTAGAAACCTCTAGAGAGTTCACTACTGGTCTCACTGCCTTCCACTGAGAATTTGTGGCTTGGTTGTCATGGAGACATCGTATTTCTCCAAGAATTGCTCATATTGATCCGTGGCCAGGCGTAAATGGCCAAGCGAGTGTGAGGAATAAAGGGGGCTGGGCAGTCCTATAAAATGACCAGGGCTTGTGGGTTGGAAATAAGCTCATAGCACACACTTAGGTAAAAAGAAAGAAGCAGTTTTATTTTGTTTCAGGATTTCTTTCTGCACTTTGGGCCATTGTCTTCTTTCACTATGAACTGAAAGAAACTTGTTAGTCACTTGTCATGTCAGATCTTTGGTGCTTGTCCTGACACAGCTGTCAGCCTTCCAGCTCTGTGCAGTTCAGGGACACACAACAAAGAGGCAGTGACATGAATTATTTATTGCTCCTTGTGTGGATAAAATTCTGTGATAAGAAATTAAGACACTTCTGACAGAGGTGCTTGTTTAGTAGAAAGATTTTGATGAGAGAGTGCATTTCCTTGAAGTATGAGCATTTGAGAGGCAAAATTCTTAAAATTGAACACGAAGGAAGATTTGTGAAATTGGTGTCCCTGGGAGACTTTCTTGAACTGTGAAAATATGACTGTCCACTTCTCAGTGTCCACAAATTAACTTCAAAATATCAAGTCATTCAAATGCGGGGGCTCCAAAACTATAAACATTGCTTTATATGGTGGTTTAGTTACCTCTATTTACCAGGTATGAGTGGTGTTTCTCTGGAAACTAAGTTTAACCACCTTTGTTGGAAGAAAAAAACAAAATTTGGAGTTTTTAAGTGATAAGCTTTGGGAAGATGTCTTCAAATCAACAGAGGTGCTTCAGTAGCTAAGCTTATAATTGTATTACAGTCGTGGGTCACTTAACTACAGGGCTACATTCTGAGAAATGCATCGTTAGGCAATTTCGTGGTTGTGCAAACATCATAGAGTAGTTACACAAACCTGGATGGTTATAGCCTACTACGCATCTAAGTTGTATAGTACTAATCTTATGGAACCACAATCATATATGTCATTCGTTGTTGATAGAAACGTCGTTAAGCAGCACATAACTGTAGTATATTCATTATTCCTTATATGGAAAGGAGTGCATTTAAATCTGAATGCATCATTCTTACCATTTTCACCTGGAATATTTATCACTCATTTAAAATTCCTTTTAACATTTTCATGTACATGCAAAATCTCCCAGTTACAAAGTTGAATGTATGTGGTCAGTCTTCTAGCTTTAATGGATATTGACCTTACATGGTTTTATCTATGCAATTCTAAATGACTAATATATTTATTACATCATTTTTAATGAATAGACCAGTTGTTCGAAGAGCATATAGAAAATGAAAACAAAAAATCAGTTTCCCATCCAAGCACAGTTCAAGAATATTGCCTATATATTGTTCTTTCCAAATAGTCTTTTCTTTGCACATCCTGTAAACATCATTTTAATTCAGCGCTTAGAGCTTCATGTTGCTAATAACAACTTATTTGCATATGCAGAGAGCAAAGGAACATTGAAGCACAGAAAAACTAAAATAGTTTTTTTAAAGATGAGGTTGAAGTTTTTAAAACATTGATAGAACATTTTTAAATGTAATCAATAAAATCAAGTGTTTAGAATATATATAAAATGGTAAGATTGACTTTGTCAATTGATTATCTTTTAATACAATGGGTTTTGAACTCAGTCTGTTTGAACTTATTTCTCCATTGACATCACTGCTTCTCCAGTACTGAATTGACTAGGATGACCCATTTGTAAATGGGCTGGTGTGTGCATATAGGTCACAATTTAGATGCCTAGTGGAGTGGTCATTCACCTGGTCTCCAGAGTGCTCTACCTTATTCATCATGCCATTGTGATCTCTTTATTGGTTCAAGCTGTATACCCAGGTGAGTGCCTGTAGTCCATTAAGGTTGGCAAAGCAACTTTAGACCAGAGCATTCTTGTTACTCTGACCCCACTAGTGAACCTGGAGGTCTTGTCTGATAGGTTAAGGTCTCCCTCAGCAGTGTCTTTTCTTAGGAATTATTCATTAGCAAGGAGTTTTGACTCACAGGTGAATCACAGATTGAAGTTTCTGGTTCAGAGTCTGTGAAGTCTACTTGCTTCTTCACTGGCATTTATACATTCCCATAACCAGTGGGAATAACGTTGATGTCTAGTAATAGAAGCACTGAGACAACATCGTGAACTTGCAGCTCCCTTTTTTGAGATTTTAGGGCCATTAGGCTTTCTTTCTTTGGCTCTTTAAGGCCTGGTTGCTCCTGAATCTGAAAGATGCTATCAGAAAAATAGTTCAGTCTAGTCTTTCGCTGGTTAACTTCTTGTTAACTCTTCCACAGTGATTAAAGCTCAATCCGCGTTCTCCAGAATATGATAAAAAGTGTTCCTTGCCCCTCATCTTTGTACTCACGATGATAAAAAATTTCGTGTGACATCACAATTGTTATCCAAGTGTTAATGAGAGACCTTGAGCTTTTATCACCTTATTGGCTTGGAAAATTAAGGATTGTACTTCATAGTACACCAGGGACCGTGCACTTAAATATAGCTTCAGCTGAAAATAGTAGTGACAAGAGAGAGCTTGAAAGTACAAATAAAAGCATTCAGACAAGCATTTTCACATCATTCTGAAGTAGGTTATAATCAGTATGTGTTCTGTCATTAATAGAACATTTTAGTGGTTTTTATATAGCACGTTATGTGTGTAGATCTGTATACATCATTGTCAATCAATATTGCATTTGCATGAATCTGATGAACAAAACTAGATTTCTCATGGTTTCCAGGGGATACTACATGTGAAAAGCCAAGGTGGATGTTTTTTTTCTTTTACTATTCTGGCTCATGAATCACTAGCAAAAATCAGGTAACAGAAAGTAGGACAGATTCAGAACTGGAGTGTTGGAGATGGCTGATGATGATGCATGAAGCAGAAAAGATGTGGAATGTATGAGCAGCCCATCAATCATAGCTGTCGAGAACACACTTATGGTTAGCACTAAAAAAAGTGTTCTAGAAGTAAGAACAATTTCAGTAGCAAAAAACGTTTAAGTTCTTTCTTTTAGTTGCATTTAACAATATCAATAGTTTAAAAAATTTATCTAAAGGGAAGAATTTAAACATCAACCTAATAACTTTTAAAAGATGTAGAATTCTAGGGTAATAATATGCATTCATATTTATATATATAAATATATAATATTTATATATATTTATACTTATAAATATATTTATATATACACTATATAGTGTATATATCATACAATACTGAATATTGGTTAACTAAACCACATAATCAGCTTTTTGAGTTTTTGCCAGTAGGAATAGGAGTTACTATACATGAGCACATCATTAATATAAATGTATTTAGAGGTAGTTCACTAAGGCATGATGCTCCACTTAGTTTGATAGTCAAATTAACTTAAATTAAGTTATATTTTTTAGCCTACAATAACAATCATCCAAGTAGTCTGAAAATTAAATGCTTTTTTTGATTCTTTAGCTCAAATCATATTTCAAGTAACATTTATAACATTTGACCTTAAAACTGCAGCTGTGGGTTTCTCTAAGAACAATTCAGCCACTTGAAATTTATGGAAATTTAATAATTTCAAACCCAATTCATCTTGTTGAAAACATTCATCTTTCTTGGCAATTAAAAGAAGAACCTATATTAATAGTGTGTGCAATTAAAATATATTTACCTGGGGCCTAGTTTATAAGACAAGAATATTTTTATTGTATTAACATATTTACCTGGGGCCTGGTTTATAAGACGAGAATATTTTTATTATCTTAACATATGTTATTGCAAGATAGAAGAGAAATGTAGAAATTATAGGCAATTTCTTCCTTCCTCCCTTTCTTCCTTTCTTTTCTCATTCCTTCTTTCTTTCATCCTTCTCTCTCTCACTGCCTTCCTGTCTCCCTTCCTTCCTCCTTCCCTTCTTTCTTTATTTCACCAAATAACCATATAATCTCTTTTCTTTCTAGGTGAGCCAAGGCATCATTCCTGGATAGCAAAGCTGTGCTCCTGCAAGCTGTGCTAAATGGAATCTCATCTATAGCAACAGAATTTGGACAAATTAAAAAACCCAAAACATGCCATTTATCATTGTATATAAGCCATGTTATTAATAACTCAAGTTACTAAGTTGTAGTAGATTTGCTAATACTTCAGAGTGTATTAAAAGTGTAATTACTGATTGAAAATACCCAGGTTCATCTAATTCTAAAAAATCATTGTCTAAATTATTATATAGTACTGCTTCTTACTTTTTAAAAAATATTTCCAACACGGAATGCCAGCCAATGGAGATAAATTTAATACCATTTTAGTTTTTCTTCCATCTTTTCAGTCCCTGAATTGTATGATAAGCAACACTAAAACCACATTGTTTTTAAGCAATATAACACATAATGCTTTTAAATTTACTGTTGCTTCAATGTATTTAATCTAAAACTTTACCAAATTTGTTTGATTTGTTAAGTTAGGACATTTTGTTTTAGTAGATGCTTTAATTTAGATCAATCACCCTGCAGTAAATCTCATCCCTAAGCGTGAAATGTTGTCAACAAATAGCCAGTTCCATTTAGTCATCAATTAGCCCAAATAAGTGATACACAGTATAACAGGGACCAATCTTGTGCCGTCAAGTTAATTTGGACTTCTAATGACATAGAGGCTAATGTCTTTAGCTAAAGGTTGATCTCGTTGGCCATAGATGGGAACTAGGGAAAGGGAATCTGCTTATAGCACGTCACAATTGATCCTTATAAAATATAAACTCTTACAGTTCTTTTCCCAGAAAGAAGCTTGACTAGCAGGAATTCTTAAACTAAAATATGAGAAGCAATATAAGTAGGAAGAGACATAAATTGCTCATCTATTAAAGCCCTTAGTGATCTGACGTATTTGCTTTGATTTATACTGTATAATTTCTGGATTTATAGAAAATCATCAAAAAGATTACTACTGTGCATATGAATACAAATATTGCCTAAATCATAGAAAAATGGAAATAGAGTGTTAAATATATGATATTTATATCTATCTATGTATCCAATAGGGAAGTTCCAGTCACTTCAATTCACCAAACGTTTCGGAGGGCACCAGCATCAGCTTCTGTGCTGGGATGCAGTGGGCATGGGAGAGGGAGAGATTAGAATAGAACTATATAATTGAAGTAGTATGGTCCCTACCCTGAAGGAACCTATAATTAATGATTGACCTGAATGAATATACCAGAACGTAGACATCAAATGAATGTGACTCCTTTAAAGTAGATAGAAATGTGTATTTTTCCCCTGCAATATGATACCTTTGCTTGAAATTACTGTTGAGTTGTACTTCAAAAATAGTAACATTGTTAATATGAATAATCATGGAAAATTGTCATCCTTTGCAAATCAACATGTATACTTTCCCCCCTTTGGAAATAGTCAAAAACTACTTAGAACAAGTTTCAGAATAAAAGAAGGTAACAAGCTAAGCAATGGAACACCTTTTCTTGCATGTTGTGTACTGGCTCTGAGGCCATTGCAAGAAGAACTCCCAAAAACATTTTTAATGATGGCAATATCAAATAAGTATATGTCCTATCAATAGGGCAATTTTAATAGTTAAAACTGATTTGGATGCTCAAGTTCTGTTAGGTTTATTAAAAACAAGCTTCTTTATTTTTATAGCTATGTCCTGTTATTCCCTTTTCAAAGAAGAATCAAAATAAGTGCCAAATTTAGCATTTTTTCAGGTGTAAGGAAACCAATATTGAATCCTTGGTAAATATTTTATGATGCCACTAGCTATAGAAAATTAGAACTAGTGTGACCCTGACATTTCTAATGAGATTTTTAAGAATTTTTTGACATCATATTTTACAGTTGCTAAAATTTAATAATTCATATTAAATGAGTAATTAAAATCTTTTTACCAATATGAATTCTGGAGGCCAGGGCCATTAACTATCAAAACTTTTAATTTCTAAAATGAGAGTTTTAGAGATAAATATTTAAATAATGTTCCCTAATATCCATGTACAAGTGTGTTTTGACACAAATCCATGAGTCTGTTTAAACATCATTTCTTTAATTTATATTGACTTATGTTCAACATGTTCCAGAAATTTCTATTGCAAAGAGAACTTGAAATAATAAGCTGCCACATAATTAACCAGATCAACCACATGGTGACCCTAACCACTTGGTACCATAGCTAGAAACTCAAAACTGACCGCCTCTTGATTATGTGTTTGTCCTTTTCTACATCCAGCCTCAGGTAACAAGTGGAGTCATTGTATTAGTGGATGTGTTTGTATCCAGAGTCTTCCCTGTCATTGTAATAAATAAATCATTAAAAAAATTATCTTGTATTTCTTTTTTGATAATAATCTTGGCAATATTTATGATTATGTATTTCCCTCTAAGGAATATCGTATTTTCAAATTTGCAAGCTGGGATCCTGTTATTCATGGTAGAGTTACACACTGCCTACATTGCTGAGGAAAGAATCTTGGAAAGAATTTAGGCTTTAGTGCCGAGGCCTCATTGCCATGTGTCCAGGCAGTGTGTCCTTGCTGTGCTTCTCAGAGCCCCACTTCCCACCCGTGATGAGACTTCCCTGACAGGGCTTATGCATGCAAAGGCACTCCATGAGATGATGTATGGAAAGCAGTTTGAATACTGTACAGCACTTCAAATAGAAGGTAAAATTTATAGTATTAGAAATGTACAATTAGATAGGTGGCTTCAGGCCTGAAACAGTCTATTGCTGTTTTAGAAACTAAGTTAAGGCTACTTTGAAAATGTCACTATTAGAAAAATGATAAGAAAATATTTTGCTAAATATTAACAGTCTATCTCTAAATGGTAGTATTGGGGGGTAATTTTTATTTCCTTCTTTGTACATTTTCCTCTAATGTTCTGTATTTAAAAAGCCTTTTATAATTATTTAAATGAACATTTTATAAAAGCTATTCTTTCTCTTCAATGTTTTTAAGGCACATTATAATAATTGAATTTTTAAAAATTAAGTGTTATGCCATGTATTTAAAGTGAAAGCTCAGAATACATTAATTCCAATTGATTTAAAAGTCTTATTTTCACAAAATGGACTCATTTGTGTAATTTTAAAAATTTTACATTGCCCACTTTTTGATTATGCAGTTATTTAAAAGCAGTGCTATTTACGCTTTGATTCTCCACAAAATGTTGTTTCACATGTAAAGTACCCAAAGTTGTGTCTAATTTCATATGAAAGTCACTGCTTTGTAAACATGTACATAGTTGGCATTGTAAAATACTTTCAAAACTAGCTGTGACCAAAAACTTTGCGGTTAAGACTTTCTTGCATAGGGGCCGGCTCTGTGGCTGAGTGGTTAAGTTCGCGCGCTCTGCTGCGGCGGCCCAGGGTTCGGATCCTGGGCGCGGACGTGGCACCGCTCGTCAGGCCACGTTGAGGCGGCATCCCACATCCCACAACTAGAAGGACCTGCAACTAAGAGATACAACTGTGTACAGGGGGGGTTTGGGGAGATAAAGCAGAAAAAATATATATATATATTGGCAACAGTTGTTAGCCCAGGTGCCAATCTTTAAAAAAAAAAAAAAAAAAATCTTGCATAGATACATTTTTGATGAAATTGTGTGGCTTCATGTTCAGTGGTCCCAAGACTGCTTTGCACTGTGATTTCATCAACGAGGACCCTACAGATGGCATGTAAGAGAAAAATGTAAACTGGAATGAACAGGTCTTCCAGTAAGAGCATGCCTCAGGAAACTCCCATCCAACTGAGCCCTGCAAGACTGCGCACATCAGTTCATCTCATTGGCGGGAGGGGACTGGGGTGACGTCTGTCTTGGCACAACTCCCTCACACCTCTCCCTCTCATCCCAACCTTCTCAGATCCCATCTGCATTTAAAATTTCTGTATCATGGATTTTTTTGCATTAATTTGATTTTTATAAATATTGTATTAAAATATATTTAGCTTGATTACTGAATTTTTTTGCCACCTTCTAGTCTTAGGCCCTGTTCATTAAGTCTGGGATAAATTCACTTTTAACCCAGGAAGCATACCACAAGTAAATAGACTGCGACAATTGCATCATTATGAGCGTGATTATAATGATACAAATGGTAAGAAATAGTTATTTTAATACCATGTGAAAACTAAAGCCATAGACCATTGAAAATGTTTAAAATAGCTTACTTCTAGAGGTTTGCAGGGGGAACTGTCGAGCATGTGTGGTTCTTTCTTTTGACATTGTTTCTCCAAATGCCTTTTTATCACTGTACAAAAGCATGAATTCCTATCATCAGTTTTAGAGATCTTTTCTGTCTTCAACACACTACTAATCGGAAAAGTAGCAGTGATTTTTTATTCAAGGATGCAAGGTTTTTAACAGCAAATATAATTAGTACATGTTTAGTACAACACTGTGCCTAAAGCTGCAAAGTGCCAAATGCCAGCAAAATGCCAATATTGATAACGTTATGCAATAGCAATAATTGGTCGGTACATGCTTACAAAACCTATCATTTATTCACTTAGCAATTCTTTGTAAAGTCATCAGTCGTGTTTTCAATCTTGCATGTGTATGTTCTTGGGAGAAGGTGTTTTCACACAGCCTCAGTCACTAGCATCATGGCCTCAAATGATGCCATCTAAGATAAAAGGACAGTCTATGATGTGTTCTTGACATATTACAAGTTTCTTTTAGACTTTTAAAGAGATTTCCTGTTAATTCTGCAGTGACAACTACATTTCCTATCAGAAATAACCTCTCTTGTATGTCAAAAGAATTCTTATATTTATGTTATCTCTATTTGCATCAATTTATAGTTATAATCAACTGAGAAAACATTGTTTTATTTAATTTTTATTTCTGTATTTTAGAGCCTGCCAGGAAAAAAGAAAAAGGCAAAAACCTGTAGCACAGTGAGATTAAGAGCCTTCCTCCTCTCCCTGAGACAGTCATAGCCACAGGGATCAAGTTGCCCCTGGGATTGTTTTTATGATAAGAAAGATTTCCTTAGATGAGCCCCTATTTCAAATAATCAATGTATTCCCACCAATCTAAGCAAAACCAGTTGGTCCAATTTCTGCAAGAATTTGAGATAGGAAGTGAGGTAAAAATAACAAATACTGTCATTTCATTTGTCATTGGGATAGTCAAATAAAGAAACAAATTTGGGAATTTCTAAAATATGTTTTCATAGAAAGTATCCTGCAGCTGATGCCTGTCTGGAAAGGTGTTGGGTTTTGTGTGTAGTCTTCCTGCCATGTAGGTGGCAGCAACACTCAAGGTTAGAAATTTCCTTTCACATTCTCTTAGCTCTAGTCCAAAGCATATTCTTACTAAAAATCCTTGTGGAAGAGAAAAGGTTTAAAGTGTAGAGACAAATTTCTCTATGTCCTCACATATCTCTAAAGCACTATTTTAAGGTTGTGCTAAAGCGGTTCCCATAATGTGAAAACATTTATCATTTCCCTTAATACAGAAGTCATATTCTGCTCTCATACATGTTGGTAGTATTAGGTTTCTGTTTCTTTATTTACTAGGATCTTACTTCTTTACCTTCCCTCAGGCTAAAGCCTTTCTCTGAAGGAAAAGGAAGAAAACTGCTTTATCCCACTACCACCTAAGTTTTTTCTGGGAAATAGTAAAAGTCTGCCCCTTTATTCTTTGTAAGCATCTAAAAAGTCAGCATATTAAAGCATCTAAAAAGTCAGCGTATTTAGTCAATGTGGAGAGATTTTCCTTTAGTCTTCCAAATGAAGGCATTTTCTCTGATTGTCCTAAGGAGAGGTGACTGCATTCAAGTTAGTTCTGTGTGCAAATCAAATGAAGGCTAAGTCTGAGCAGACAGGCCCAGGGCACCTGAAAGGGAAGCCAGAATACAAACAGAGGACAGGCAGACTAACACTGAGGGTGTTGAATCATTGTGTGGATGTAGGTCACTGCCTTGAGAAAGCTAGTGGCTAGTGTACCCAGGCAGAATGAAACCAGGATGCCCACCTTATATAAATCGATTTCCTTAATGTTGGAAACCGATGAGCAGTAAGCTTTTCTCCAATTCCTGGCATTTTGCTAGAACTAATACATGTTATAGCAAACATAGGCAGCTTGTGTGAAGGAATCTTCAGAGTGTTCTTTTTACATAGGGTTATTCAACGTGTCCGAAATACCAAGCAAATATACACAATTCCAGACACAGGTGAAGAAGACGCCAATTTAATTCCCAGGCTACGAGGAGGCCATTGAATGGTTTGGAGAAGGTAGATTGAGGAGCGGGTTCTGTATCTAACATGTTTCAATCTAGTTTATTCCATTCGTCACTTCTTTTGTCCTTCGTATCTTTGATTACTTTCCCCAAATATCTATGTAGTTTAATGCAAGTGTTTTGCATTGTAGCAGGCATTGAACATGGAGTCTGAAGTATTGGCATGTGTCTCAGCTCCTTCCCTTTCTTACTAGTTATTTGACATTAGCAAAGTAGTTCATATAGTACCTTGAACTTCAATTTTCTCATCTATACACTGAGACTAATAATTCCAATTTCTCAAGCACCATATGTATGTACTACTATTATTGAACATAATATTACAAATAATTGAAGTTACTACACATACCAAAAAAGTCTGCTTAGAATCTTAATTTTAGATAACCATAATGGATCTCCAGGTGCTCAAGCAAGCTTTTTACTCAGATTGGACATAACCAAGCTATATAAATTGTTTTGGTAAGAATTTCCTCTTTTAAAATGTTTCATGTTAACTGAGTACTCCTGGGATCTAGGGCTAGTTTCAAAGTTTTCAACAATTTTTTTAAAGGTAAAGACTTTCCCCAGCTCAGTGAGTAATAATAAATAGTAAATAGTAGATAGTTTTTCTTCTGGCTCATGAAAGATAATCCTCTGGGGATGTTTTATGTCGGAATGAGATAGGCCATGGTCCATCTAAGGTTGTACTAAACAACAAGTAACTTCCCTCTTGATTTCTATCAGTCTTCATATCATCAGTTAACACTAAAAAGCATGTTTCTATAGTTTCGTATGAGTGTGATGAATGAGACCAAACCAAAAGACATAAGTACTTCTAAAGAGGTATCCCAAACATAGAAAGTCAATGAATCCCTGAAAGACTGTGTGTAAAGCAAAACAGTGTAGATAAAATTCTACCTTCCCAATGAGGATGGTGTGTATTAGAAATGTTTTCCTATTAGGCAAAAATCTGAAAATGGATGAAATGAGTAGAAAATCTGAGTCAAGGAAGGGCCAAAGTAGGGGGCTGACTATGGCATCAGAGACATCAAACACCAACAGAATGTATCTAGAGGGATGCTCATCCTTATTTTTACT